GTTGCTGCTCGATAGCAGAGCCCGCGTGCCTTGTGGACAGCGAATGAGTTGTCTGCCTCGTTAGCCCATGATGCAGTCAACGTGGCAGTGTGGATCTCTGTGTCGTGTATTATCAATTGGTTTTCCGTATGCAAACGGTTAACTTGCAAGGGTCCTAACAAATTGCTTACATGAGTGTTTTCCTGTCGATTGGTCTATTTGGCTTACTAGGTTTTGATCCTTGTGTTTATTTTTTGGTGTGGTTGTGCGTTGAACGTGCATAAGCTGAAATGTCTGACACGGGATCGCCGCCATTGTTTGCGTATGTGCGTCCTAGTTTGTTTTATTAAATGACACAAACACTTGCTACTTTTAATTGTAAGTAACGATTATTAAATATTATTTATGGTGATAATACTGCCCCCGTGGTGCCGCAAACGTAGGTTACGAAACAGTTAACCTTTTAACAACACTTTTAAAACCGTACGAAACGAAGTGACTGCTAAATCCTGACAGACCCCGCATTTCGATTCTAAATCGTCGTTCTTTTATTCTTGCTCGAGTCTGGGACCGATAGATTTTAATAAAAGAATGTTAATAAAGAAATAAACTTGCTTCTAGACAAGGCAAACGCTGCTGGTTATATAAGCATCACTACTTGCTTTCTAAAAGTAGTTTGGTAACATAGTTTTGCGTCATTGGAATTGCGACTGTTGTGCTTCGCGTTGAATCACACTCGTTTATCCGGTCGATCCACATTCTCGGACGCAATGCCCGTCAGCCGTTGACCCCGCATTATCCCCACGTGATTGCTAAGTCGCAATGTTAGCACATCTCTGACTCTATTACACACATCAGAGCCATAAGTGCACACGCGCAAATGCCACACACACACGCACAACAACGACAGTAACTTGGTAGAGCTATCTGGTAAACGGTTGTGTCCGCGTCCTCTCCGGTCTTCTTCATCAACGCGGCCAGCAGAGTGGCCTCATCGGGCCAGATTCGACTCGGTGGCCCACAACAAGACCTAATTATGATTTTGAAATACCCGCAATCTGTTAGAAAATACGCTTCTTCTTACTGCTACAGCAAATATTTTAAAACAAATCTGGCTTTACTTTTATCTACTTTCTCTTATAGATCTTTTCATCCAGTGTAGGATTAAAGAAAACTATTTCTCATTTGCTAAAATTGCTATTAAGGTTTCTACTTTAAATGCAAACTGATAATAAAAAAATCCTTCAAATAAATTTAAGTTAAATATCAGACAGCAGTAGCGTCTACCTTTTTTAATGGAGCCAATCTATGTGCTGCAATACATTCATGCGTCCTCGTAACTTGGTTTGTATCTCGCTGAAGCCCCATGACAGCAGCCATCTTCAAAACCGACGTTGCTCCACATTCGTGGTGCCAGTTGATCACGCAAGATGTGGTTTTGGCGTTTTCAGTCTGTTCGCATGACCAGCATTGAATCGTTTGGGCATGTGAGGCAGACAGGCGTCTCTGCTCCAGAGGATGCGTGCGTGGCTGCCGCTCCCACCCCTCTGCATGTCTGTTCATCTACGCGCTAGTTGCAAATCGATACCCACCATAGGCAGTAACCAGGCTTGATTCCGTCACTTGCCTTTTCAAACTCATGTGTGTCCCATCGATGTCCACGTGCCCTTTTGGTTGTCATCATTGTTTTTACCCTCATGAGTAGAGACCGGGTCAATCCCATTACCTCTCTAGTACATCGCCTCTCAAAAACCCTCTCGTTGAACCGCAATTCCTTTACCAATGAGGACTCCGATGAGTGCTCCAACCACCCACGAGGTCGCCTATCCTCCGTAACAGAGATAAAATCAGACTGCTCATTCGAGGTATCTCAAAAACGTGACCTGCCTGCCAGATCAGCCAGTGCTTGCCCTGGAGCATATGTCGACACCAAAGCAGAACTGGAGTCAAATAATCAAAATACTGAGGATGACATGGAAATTCAATATGATGAAGAGCTAGTAACGCCAGTTGAGGGCACAGACGGCAGTGATTCATCAGAAGAACCCTTGTTCACATATTCTGGAAATAACTTGAATCAAATATACGAGTTCGACTATCCCGAAATACCTAGAAATGAAAGTGATAGTAACTTGATGTCGTCAGCCCGGCGAAGTGACTTCTCAGAAGGCTCATTGTCCACAGATATAGACGACGGTGAAATTAGTCGCTCCGAAGAGGAAGTCGAACAGTCACAATCCACCGAAACGGAACCTCACAAAACCCGACTCCAAGAAAAAGAAAACGCAAGTGATGCAAACGAGCAGGAGGCCCACAGAGAGATCTGCCAAGAAGACTATGATAGCTACTCATTTCCTCAGTTTGAAGTGGAGCATGATCCAGAACAGGATCCGTTCCACGAGGCGGCGCTTGTTGCCGAAAGTCATCAGTTTTCTCATCCCCCTCGCCAACCTATGGGCACGTCCCCACCTGCTATTCTCGTCACCTCACCTTCTAATAACGACATTTCTAAGAAGTCACCCAGCAGGCCTCCCCCTCCAGTCTTAAAACCTGTCCGGCCACCTCTCCCGCCCCCTCCTTCGCACCCTCTTCCCAAAGAGGTGCCTCCACAGCCCTCAGCACAGCCATCACCTAGACCTACTTCCAGCCCGGAATCGCCAAGTCCTTTGCGGAAAAAGAAACTTAAAATTTTTGGTTTGAACATTGGTAAGTAGGAAATAAGGACTCCTTGTTTATTTTGGCTCCATTATGTCAGCACATTTTTTCTCCTCTAATTTCATGCCTTAGTTCTACACTAAAAAATGCTCCCCCGAAGCTACGCTCAGAATTTACTTGTCTTCTGATGAATACTGTTAAGTCTGATTTGAGACACTTCATGGACGTATACTCAACTTGTCTTTGATGCGTTTGTTTCCAAAAATATCGGAATTGCTTTCAAGGGTGCTTGTTAATTGCCCTAAACAGAAATTGGGTTAATGAACACTCCTCTTTCAAGTTTTTCACGTGATAATTTCAAGAGGCTGTGAAATGCAGGGTTCATTCAAAAGGGTCTAGAATTTCTGTCGAAGGTTCTTAACATAAAACATGAGGCATAAAGTTATAAAGACTGATCAATATCGATTCATGTCATGCATACAACTCTAGATACTAATGATTTGCCCAATGCGCAGTTTACCTTCAAAATGCATGTTCTTCTGCTCGAACAATGTTTGCTTGCGCATGGGTTCACCTCGACGTGGTGGCGGTGTTGGTGCTGCAATGCGAAACTCAAACCCACTTCGTGGAAGCTGACTTATTATGGCTGCTTAGGCTCGATCAGACTCGATGTATCCAGAGTGTGCTAGATGTTCCTCTTTTTATTTGACCAATCCGACTGTTGTCTACGAGCTAACTTGAACACGTATACGTGAGAGTACATATGTGTGTAGACTGTAAGAGTCAGGATGGAAAATCAGAAACTATATGATCAGGAGGAGGCACGTGCATAGATGGCTAGAGTCTGGTTGCCTGGTGATCCCTGTATATGTGAACTCGCGGTCCTCGCAACAATGGGTTTGGCTTGAATCATGAGTAAAACCGACAATTTAATGTACCTTTCCATTGTCACAATGTAAATCGGGTGTTGTAACTTATAATTTAATGTAAGTTGAATTGCACCAAAAACAACGCTTGTGATTATTTTAATATGAGGCTTCTGAGCTTCTAGTTTCGTCGGATTCTCCTCATTGGCTGAAGCTAGGGCAAAACACGCAGTATATTTGGTAAAAATAAATAAAATTTACGGTAGTGTTCATGCTTAATTTGTGGTTTGCAGTCAAAGATCCCCCAGAGACTTCGCTTGCATTGGGAAAAAATGTTTTCGCGTTCATTTTTTACGTTTTAAATTTCCCTTCAAATTTATATCCCATGCTAAACTTTCGTTGTAATCACATCAGGTGAATGCTACCTTCGTCATTTAGGCAAATTTGCGAAGTCCCAACTATAATCTTTATAAAAATGGCGTCCCAACTGAAACTTCATTTTCCTGTAAAATATTAAGTAAATAGAACGAAATTACTCTACAGACTTAGCGGTAGAGTTAGACAACCCAGAATCCCCACAAATAAAGTGTTTTTATGATTTATTTTTTAATTTAATCACATTCGAAACTTTTGCTTTCATGCGCCAATGCTTACATTTAGGAGCAAATGTTCACTATTGTAACGTGGCTGCCTGTGGATGACCTCATTGTCCTTTTGACGCCAAAATTTGTACTCAGAAAAAAACTTCAAAGTGAATTAGTCTTTTGAAGTTGTTCGACAGTTGTAAGGTCACCTGGTCTGGTGGGAACTTTATTGTTTTGAAGTCTGATGACTGTCTATCCACTAATCACCAAGGCATGTTTCAGGAACATTTGCCTACCAATTATAAAGTAAATAGCGCAACTCCCTGTAACTTTAGTGTCATTACACTTGTTTGATCCTGTGGAGGCAGCTTCAATTTGTGTCTTCAACATCCGCTTACACAACCGACAAGTACTGACGGGCTTTTGGTGTCTTAGTTTACTTGTCCTTAATCGTAGGTCAGAGCCAATCAAACATGAACAGGAACTTAAAAAGTATGTACTATACTTGAAATATGAAAATGTTTTTTTAGTCATTTCAAAGGCTAGTTTACCATGTGTATGTGTGAGTTTTGAAATGTATTATCATACAGCCAGGTTAGTCTCTCCAAAATTATGTTTAAAACTTGTATACAAGTTCCCTGTGCTACCATTCTGCAAGCCTTAGTAATTGATCAAGTCAGTTAATCAATAACTGTCGTTAGACAAGATAGATTTCTTCATTTCAACAAAGTGGATTTTAAACATTTCGCATTTGTTACTCAACGCTTGTGCGTTTAAACAGATAGGCTGAATAAATAACTCACCGCATTCCATAATCCACACTTGTACAGTCCTGGATTGTAACATGCAGGGTCTGTGAACTTTTACTGCAGGACTCTGCCGATTCAAAGACCATGAAAAAATTGCTTGCTTATTTTATAGAGGTTAATGTAACACTTTTTTTCAGTCCTAATGCTTTGATAATTAGTGATGCAGAAGTCGATTACTATTGAAGTGCGTTGTCCTGTTATGGCTACTTGTGTGTCGTACTAACCGCTATCTTACTTGAAGGTGTTGTAACACATTCAGCATCCACTACAATTGCTCCATCGAAGCCATTTTGCGATGGGAAAGAGTTTAAGGCAAATTACTGTGCTACCTGAACTCTTAGTGACAATTATTTTAAAACTTCGAAAGCGTGAATACAAGCAGACGCTCTTGGCCATCAGGTTCTAACTCTCCAAAAACACCGAACTTTGGGACGATGCATGTTTGAAACTCCATAAAATTATTTTGGTCAGAGTGAGAGACAAAGCTAATTAAAACGTGAGATTTTCAAAATCTCATTGGACAAATATACGTTTTTCCATGCACCAAGGCAGGGTGTTTTGAGCGCTTTGGATTTTTTAAATTTCGCCCAAAATATAAGTTCTTTTGAAATAAACCCTGGTTATTAATATTCCATGTGCGATACAGTGACGCTTTCATTTCTACAGCAGTAACGGGCTTTTTGCTACATAGCTATTTCGTTGTTGCTCGCAAACAAACCTGGTTCAATATATGATGAATTGAAGCTTTTAAAGAGTTATGATAGTTAAACCGGTCTAAACTAAATATGAATATTTTCTGTAAATATATTGACAGAATTCAAAATGACAACAACTCGTTTAGTTGGTTTTCTTTTCTTGACGAAAACGCACAGAAGATTCCCTATTGCCAGGCTGTTAACCACCACTCATAGCTATTTAAAACGTTGCTTCCTGCGTCCTCATTTGGCCGGCGTAGCACGATGCCTGAGCGCCCATTGGTGGTAAGTCGGGGGCTGTACTCCGCTCAACAACGCTCGGACGTTAATCGATTTCGCGCATGCGTTAAACTTTGGCTGCCACCTAGTACCACTTACGCGGAGGCAGGACGAGTCCGTGTAGGCATCCTTACTGCCGTCTGGAGCATAACCTACATCAAGGGTGCGTTTAGCTCAACATAGTGGATATTTTATAAATCTTTACTTTTAAAATCACAAGTGCTTTAGGTCCCTTTTGACCAGCCTCCTGGTAAAAGGCCAAAGAGAAAAATTTATCGGCAGTAGATTTCCTGGTACCGATTCGTTGAGCGCTTTTAAAATTCACGGGTTGACTTTCATCAGTGCTTCATTTTTAGTCTTCTCCTACCAATGTTACATCAAGAACGCTCAACAAATTAGGCTAAATTGCAAGACATCTTCTATTTGTTGCGAATGCACGATGGCTGTGTGAAGTGCAGACATAAGTAATAATCACTAACAAGTTTTTACGTCCCCTCATTTCATTTCCTTTTTTTCCAATTTTGCCCTCTTTCTCTAAAGCAGAAGATGAATCTTTCTGCAAAGTTGAAAGTTGTAAATAGTTGTAAATTAGTATGTAGTTCATAAAATTGAGGGTCGAATTTGAAGTCAGGAGTGAATTTCTAAATGAACTACCCCAGATAGCTTTAAACCGAAGTCAGCAGATGTCCGATTAATTAATCATTGGCGTGCATTTCGCTCTTTTCTTGCTCGGTTGATAGTGTGCTGTGCCACAAAAGCAGAAAATCCACATCAGAACTTGGAACATAATGATAGCTGTAGTGAGATGAGTGTTTTATTTCTTCAAACTCTAGATATCAAGCCATGTTTTTTAGGCCGCTTTTATTTAAAAAAAAACTTGCTTTAAATTCACCAGATAAAATCTAGGGTTTTAAATACGAACTCAGCTGTAGACTAAAGTTCTTTACAAGGATTTTTTTGGATTTCACTTCATGGACTCGGACGTAGATTACATGGCCATTTTTAAGTGGCAATATTTTAAATGAGCCTTGTCTGCTTTGTGTTTGCAGCTATTGTGAAGCCTTTTCTTACGGAAGACTTAAGATTTGCCTTCCGGCAGATTATTTTAACCTACAAATCAGAGTTTATTGCACCGAATATATGGTGTGCTCTGAATGGAAATCCGTTACCATCAGGCAGTTTTAAGTACATGTGCACTAAATTTTAAAAAAATATGCAACGAGGCGTGTCACTGTCCAAATGATCCGCATGAGCAATTGAAAGAACTTAGTTATCTTTTACTTCAGGTCATTAAAAGTCGTAAGCATATGATAAAGCATTCTTTGCATTCAAAAAACATGGAAATGACATCGGTATGTTTTTTTGAGGAAGCGATCACCTCGGTAATGTAACAAGAAAGAGACCTTGGCAAAAGTTAGATCGAGTAAATCCAGTGCTGCCTTTTAAACCCTGTTCAAAGCTGCGGTTTATAAGTTTTCTTGCCAGCGATGGAAATTCCGATTTGGGCAAACGTAAGCGCGTAATACGCACGCGCCACATGAACAAATTTCGTTACGATACAAATATTCACGCTAAAGTAAATACACGGCGACAATTTAAAGTGAAAACGCGATTCTCGACATATTTTAAGCAATTCGCACGAAATTTATTTGGCGGTTTTTGATGGCGTTTTAATTTGTTTAACTATCTTCCACATCATTTTCAAAATAAGCTACAACGTGGAATAAAATAATGTGCATATTATGCTCTAAATTCAGGCCAATAAAATATTTTCCATTGTTCGAATTATCCTTATAAATATACACTTTACGGCTGATGGCGTTAAA